AATTACAAGAAAAAAACTGAAAAACACACATGAAGACTAAATAACATGATACTAAACAATCAAAGGATTAACAAGATCAAGGAAGAAATCAAAAGATACCTGGAGACAAATGAAAACACAACGACCCAAAAAGTGATGGGCACAGCCAAAGCAATTCTAAGAGGGAAATTCATAGCCTATCTCGAGAAACATGAAAAACCTCAAATAAAGAATCTATCCTTACACTTAAAGGAACGAAAAGAGAACAAACAAAACCCAAAGTGAGTAGATGGAAGGAAATAAATATCAGAGCAGAAATAAACAACAGAATCAAAAAAAAAAAAATACAAAGATCAGTGAAACCAAAAGCTGGTTCTCTGGAAACACAAACAAAATTGATAAACCTATAAACAGAGTCATCAAGAAAAAAAAAAAGAGAGGACCCAAATAAACAAAATCAGAAACAGTAAAAGATAATAATACAGGGATTAAAAAGTTAGAATAGCCAAAATCTATTTCCAAATCTTCACTATCACCAAAACTTCTAACAGAAATGCTGAATACAACAGTGTAACTTATTACTGTTAGTTCTAGCAATAAGACACAGAACCAAACAAACAACTACAAAAACATTTTAAGTTATAGTAAGGGGAGAACTCATAGGGCAAACTTGAAGTCTGTTATGTGAAGTCTCACATACCTGCCTTAGTAAAACATTTTTCAGTATAACTTTATTAAAAGTGTGAGTGGAATAATAAACATAAAAATTAGTATAAGTGGTTCAGAAGACAATTTCAAGTTTTTCAAGACCTCTTGGATGGAGGGAGGTAAAACAGGATAAAGCAGGTATAAATGGTGACAGGAGGGGACTTGGCTTTGGGTGGTGAACACACAATACAATACAAGGTGATGTATCATAGAACAGTACACCAGAAACCTATGTAACTTTATTAACTAATGTCACCCCAATAAATTCAATAAAATTTTTTTAAAACAATATAATTTGGAAACAAATTTTTAATTCAATTATACCGTAAAACAAACAGAACACCTCTTGACTACTCTACTACTAAAGCGAAAGTAAGTGTCTCATCTCCTTATTCCTATTAACCACCGACGGCTCAAGAAGAAAAGTGATCACCTTAGATATGGAATAAGATGTGCTCCAACAGATTAATAATCTTGATCAATTTCTACTCTTAGAAGTTTAATCTGTCCTGTACTTACAAGTAGTTTGATTTTGTTAGAAACTCAGAAAATTATGAATTACAGAACTGCCCACATTCTTGGTTCTGCTTGAAACATACAGTAAACATACAAGTATGAATTACTAACACTTTGATGAAGGTGCATGTGGAAAAGGAGGAAGGGTCAACATTTTAAAAAACTCCTAAGTTACAGATGTCCATATCTGTAAAGGGGAAAATCAAGAATTTTTAATTATTTTTATAACCACGAAGTAACAAAAAAGAAAGAGGAATCTGTGTCAGAAAACTTGAGTTCCAGCCTTTCCCTTAAGTGTGGCCCCTTAGTCAAATCACTAAACAAGGCCTTACCTTTCATCACATTAATACCCTCATAGGGTCCCAGGGAAAATCTTAAGATACGGTACATTTTTAAACCCATAAAGAGCCAATTATTCACAAACGAGGAAAGCATTCATTCATTCATTCAACTAATACTGTATTCAATGACCAACCACGGTGTCACGTACTGACTGGAGCCCTGTGAAGACCTCAATAAACATGACATTCACGCTGCCACACACAGGCTACACATTCATTCCCTTTACACCCTCCGTATCAGTTTTTAACCCTTTTAGTTAAAAAAAAGAAAAAAGAGAAAGAGAGGGAGAGTACCAACATAAAATATGAAAGAAAATGGTAACAGTTGCTATATATTTGTAAAATTTTTGTTATTGTTGGAGACAGAAAATTGTTGGGCTATGTTCCTTTGCCTGGCAAAAGAAGAAAGACATTTCTCACTCCCTCCCCCTTTCTCCCCATCCTGCATTTACCACAAACATCTTGCTTTCTCTGGATATTTTCAAGAGTTATAAAAATACAGGTTCCTGGCTTTTCCACCAGGTGATTCAGCACCAAAAATAAAATCACTATTATGGGTAACAGATCCTTATAGCAACACCTCTCTTTCTACCTCTCTAGAGAAAAGATAAATTTCGCTACTATACTTATGTCAGCGTGCTTACCTTATTCTTATAATCATCAGCATGCTAAAAAGAAAAAGGTTTATCTAACCTTAGATAAAAATGTCCTGTATTAAAGAATGTCTTGCTTTATATTTATAAGGTTTACTTCCTTAACTCACAAATCTTACCAGGAACTTAACAGATTCAATCGATTCTTTAAATAAACTAAAATATTTACTGAAGTTCAGAATTTAGAACACTTTCTCCACCTAGCAAATAAGTCCTATAACTTAGCACTGTGCATGTGTTGTGTTAAAAGGGAAAATACAGAAGCTTTAGAATACACATATTAAGCTCTTCAAGCAAAGAACTAGAAGATCCATCCTGATCTTCAACAAAACACTTCAAAATACTTATGTTAGACAAGTTTTAAATGTTAAATAAGTAACATTATATGAGCATAACACATGATAGATGAGTATTATATAAATTAATGAGTATAACACAAATATTGTATTGTACCTGTATAAACTGAGAAAAATAGATGTTTTTATACTAAGCATTCTCACACCATTCCAACCTGGATACTTTGGCCCTTGTGAAGGAGCATCTTACACCTGGTGAATTCAAGAACCAGCAAGTTTTCTGGAGATTAGTAGCCACCAATCTGGAACAGACTTCAAACCAGCACCATCACTGACATGTTCTAGTCAAAGTGTCAAATGGTGAAAGCAACGTAAGTGGAAGGAGAAAATACAAAGTGGAGAAGAAGAAAGGAGAAGCCAAGAAAGAAAGAAAACCAACGTGAAAAAAAGCACAAGGAGACTTGGCTGGTGGGGCTCAATGGATTGAGTGCTGGCCTGCAACCAGAAGGTCGCCGGTTCAATTCCCAGTCAGGGCACATACCTGGGTTGCAGGCAAGGTCCCCAGTAGGAGGCACGTGAGAGGCAACCACACAGTAACGTCTCTCTCCCTGTTTCTCCCTCCCCTCCCCTCTCTAGAAATCAATTAAAAATTTTTTAAAGAATAAAACACACGGAAATGCAATTCTTCCAAAACCTCTGGGGGGAAGGGGGTATTTCTGATTCCCAAACTTCACAGCGAACTCTCATCATTATAATACACTTTACTGAAAACAAGACATCGTCTGCTATTAAGTGCATGTTTGTGACCCCTCAAAACTCATATGGAGAAGCTGAAATGTGAAAACATTTGGGGGAGGCGCCTCTGGAAGGTAATTAGGTCATGAGGGTGGTCCCCGCGGGATTAGTGTCCTCCTAAGAGGAAGAGATAGCCCTTTCTTCATGTGAGGGCACTGCAAGAGGTCAGCTGTCTACAAGCCCGGAAGTCCAGGACCCAATCATGCGGGCACCCCGACCTCCGACTTCTCGCTTTCAGAACTGTGAGAAACAAGTATTTAAGTCCCCTGGTCCATGGTATTTGTTACAGCAGCCCGCGATAACTAAGACTTCGCTCAAAGTGACTAGTTAACAGTGCGGCCTCCCACCTTAAATAAAGAGGGCGTGACTACTGCACCGGGACTCCACTCAGGATCACCTGGACTCCACTCAGGATCACCTGCTACTGAGTAAGGGCACATGACTTCACTTTTGCTCTTTATGGGCCCTTCTCCCCTTTCTTCTGGTTTGGGAGTTAAGAGGTTGAAAAGACTAGGACTTCCGAATTATAAAAAGAAATCTGGCCTCAAAAAGTGGTTAAAGAAATTTAAAAGGTCTGGCAAAGAAATCTCCGCATTTTATGCGGTCCTTACCCGTCCCACAACTCATCATCCTGCCCTGAACGATTTTCTTTGCTGCTAAATTTCCAGGACTAAGTCTGATAGCAATGTTTGCTGCATGCCTTTTTTTTTTTTTTTTTTTAAGAGCAACCAATTTGTTCCATTACAGACTTCTCTAATCTGATGTGAGCCTGGCTGGGTTGGCACGGCTTCCTGGTGTGGCTCCAGGACCAAGAGGCCGCGAGCTCAAGAGCCAGACTTAGAGGTCCAGCCCAACTGCCCCGTTTGAGGAAAGCCTCTTTGCAAAACACAGTCACGGTCAGCGAAACGGGCCCAAGTTCCCTGACTATCTTTTCCCAAGTCATGCTTCCCACGGCATGCTTCCTCCAAAAAAGGAATAAACCGGCCTAAGGCTCAGCTCCCGCTCGCTAGCATTTACCTATCACAGAAATTTGTTTGCAAAACAGATTCGAAGGACCTATAAACTTAACTTTCTGGAAAATGCACAACCTTGACACGAGCAACTTAACATTTAGTGAGCGCCTACTATCGTCAGGCCCCGAGTTTCTCTTAGCGCCCCGTCCCCACCAGAAGCGCGGAGACCGGGAATATAGGAGAGGCCGGGTCACCAGAGCCACCCCTAGCTATTACACTACCCTCCAAGCCGCTTAGGGGGCCACAGCCCGCTGAATTGACCAACACAGAGGGCCAGCGCGAGGAATCGACCGTTGACTCTGCGGGGGCGCAAAGGGCGTTCCGGGTCGCAGGGAAAACTCTGGGAGTGGCCAGGAGACGCCTCCTCACTAAGAACTGCTCCCCCGCAGCCGGCCGCCCAAAGCGGAGCCACAGAGGCCATCTGGCGCAAAAGACAGGAGCCGGCCCTCAACCTCCCCGCCCTTCCTTCTCCTTCCCTTGCCCCGGGCACCCCCAGCGCAAGCCCGTTCGCCCACGTGCACAAACTCAATGCAGGACCCTGGGATCCAAAAAGACCGAAGCCACTTCTCTGCGGCCCCGTCCTCGTTCCCCACGAGCAACCCCAACCCGCAGAGACACGTGGCAGCGAGGGTCCCGCCGCCCAGGGACCCCCCGGGTGCGACGGGAAGGGGGCTGCAGCCAGCCGCGCGCACCACTCACTTGCTGGCCGGCGCGGGGCTTGCCCTGGGGTGCTCTCCTGAAGAAGGAAGTCCTGGCGGTGAAGAAGAAATCCTCGGAGTCCTCCTCCAGGCTGCTGTAGCCGCTGCTCATGCTGCTGGTCCCGTCGCGCGCGGGCCGCCTCCCCGGGGCGCAGGTGGCCAGGCAGGGGGTGCCGCACCCGCCCGCCCCGCGAGGTTCCCGGCGCGCGGCCCAGAGCCGCTGACCGGCAGTCTCACTGCAGCTGCGACCGCCGCTCAATCCGGCCGTTCTGTCCCCTCCCGCCGCCTCCCCGCCGGGCTCCTGGCGCCGCCCGGGCCTCGGAGCGCCTCGCGACCCCGCCTCCCAGGGCCCCGCCCCCGCCCCGGCCCCGCCCCCGCCCAGCAAACCTCTCCGGGGGAGGCTCGGGACACTCCCCTGCACTACTGCAGGTGGGGATCGGCTGCCCGCCTTACTAGCGATAGAGAACCGGGAAAGCTCGGTTCGAAGGCAGCCTGTGCTGGGGCTGTTTTCGGGGTCGTTTCCCCAACCTCCTGGAAACTGCTAACTGCTCGGCGATCAGTCCACCGCCTCCTCCTGGGGTCCAGCGGGTGGAGGTGGAAATTGCCCGGCCAAGGGACCCCCAGACCCTCGGTCTTCCAGCAGCAGTTTCGCCCGCTGCTGAACTCCCGCCGCTCGCCCTTCCGGGAGGGTTGCAGTGCTGAGTGAGGAGCTAACAACTGGGTTGAGATTTTTCAAATGAAAACATCCTGTTAATTCAGTTGAGCTTCGGTTTTTCCCTGTCGCATTTCTCTTCAGCAAGGATTCATTCCCGCATTAGGACAGCCAAAGTCGTTCTGCTTTTACAGCCCACTTGGTGCAAAGGCGGGGTAGGGGGGAAGGGGGCGGGGCGGGGGGGCCTGGGGGAGGGTAGGCCGTGAACTAGCTCTGTAGTTCAAGTTTATTAATTAAACCTGCTTTTTAAATGTTCCCTCCCACAATCCGCTTTAAACCGACCAGTCAATGATCGGGGTGTAGGGTTCAGGGAATTCTATTCGCCCCCCACCAAAAATAAATAAATAAAGGTTCCATATTTTCTCAAGTCCTTCCAGTAGGGCAATCCTCGTTTAAAGTACAAAATTTTCAAGGGAAAGAGGTGGGGGGGAGGCAGAAACAAATGTATTTAAAAAGTAAATAAATAAATAAAGTACAAAATTTTCCTGCACGACACCTGCGGGTACCTGTCGATTACGCCATTCTGTTATTGGATTGATTTAAATAATTCTAATTTCCTTGCCGAGATCCTGATTGAAAGGCCGTTTCTTGGAAGTTTCAGCACTGCTGTGTTAAGCAGGCGTTAGAAGAGGTTTCATTTAGGAGGACAGGGGTTAGGAAACAAATTTTTCGCTCACTATAGCTAAACTTTCTTGCATTCTCTGTAATTCTCAAAACAGCTTTATAAAGTAGATAGAATTATTTTATGCTCAGTTTACATCTAGAGCAGTTGAAGCTTAAAGAGAGAAAAGTAGCTGCAGGTAGTAGGGCTGGGCCTATTCTGATCTGAAGTTCTTCAGATATCCTTCTAGGTTTTCTGCTTTGTCCCTGGTCAGCCGCGGTCATTTGTGGACTAGTGGGAGCAAGAGCTGGTCTGGAGATGATGGGAAGGAGGGACTTGGCTCATGAGTCATCCTATCCCCAGCAGAAAGAAGGCTTGCAAACCTGCCCTCCCTTCCTTCAGGTTTACTCACACATCCAGCTTGTAAACTCGTGTACTACCCCAAGTGATTCACACAACTCCTTGAGGCTGGCCTTGAAGTTGTAGCCCATTTCAAAGGTCCTGCAACATTGAAAGCTCTTCCCAGTGAGAGGAAGCAGAGTTTGCCAACCCCAAATAGGACTTTTTTTAGATATTATTTTAACCTGGTTATTTTTTGTAATGACTCAGGAAAACCTTCAACCTTCTCCCTAACTGCTTAAAGTATTTAGATGAAGAATCTGCTCCAGGACAGGAGCTATTATCATAGATAACTAGTTTAACATGAATTAGATGTAACAGGGAAGAGCCTCGCAAGTCCCCTTTGATCAAAGTCCTATGTCCCTTGGTTAAAGATGGCCCAGCCAACACTGTTTTACCAAACATTTGCCTTTACATCTCCATGTGAATTGCCTTCCTCCCCTTTGAAGCAGCAACCATAACCACCCTTCTCCTTAGTTCAATATATCATAGAAGCCTTAACTGCCCAATCTGTCCTGTTCCCACATGCTTATGGAAGCTTCATATGTACATATGTAATAAATTGGATCATTTTCTCCCATTAATCTGTCTCATGTTAATTTGATTATTAGTTCAGCCAAAAGAACCTTCAAGGTAGAAGGAAAATTATTTTTGCTCCCCTACATCAGCCACACAGTTACTGAATATTTAGAAACCAAGAATTCTAATTCCATACTGTTTTGTACATTCTAAGCGGATCCCTGTGTATGCCATGCACGTAACCTAGTGTAAGTGGATAGAACGATTTGCTTACTTATGATAGATTTTTGTTATTTGGTTTCTATTATTTTATTAACATTAATTCTTACTAAATACTCAAATTTAAGAGTAATGCATAGGTTAAAGAATTTAAATAACTTGTTTTCTTGTAGATGAAAGGGGGATATAACCTCATCCAGAACAAATTATTTTAAATAGTTTCTGTACACTTTGAAGAAAAACATTAGAAGGAAAATACATAAAGTGCTTTATGATCCACCATTTGATAAAAAGGATATTTTCATGGTATTATTTTTTAAGTTCCAAAGCATTTAATTAAATTTTATATCTGTCAATGCACCATTGGAATCAGTTATAACAAAAAGGCATAATGGAACAATGAAGAAACACTGCTTTTAAACAACAAAAAGCAAACACCGTAAAGGAAGAAGGAATTGGCATTCTATTTCTTAAAAGTATCATAATTATATTTCTATATGTTTTCGATAGCATTCTTTTTTTAAAAGATTTTATTTATTTATTTTTTAGAGAGATAGGAAAGGAGGGAGAAAAAGGAGAAAAACATCAATTGGTTGCCTCAGGCATTCCCCCCCACCCCTGCACATTCCCCTAATTGGGGACCTGGCTCCCAACCCAAGCATGTGCCCTGACTGGGAATTGAACCAGCTACCTTTCAGTTTGCAGGCCAGTGCTCAATCCACTGAGCCACACCAGCTAGGGCCTGAATATATTCTTAATTTTTAAAATTATGAATTTAGCCATGGTCTGGAGGCTCAGTTGGTGAGGGCATCATCCTCATGTGCCATGCTTGTAGGTCTAGTCCCCATTTGGGGCACATACAGGAATCAATCAATGAATTGAGAGATAGGTGGAACAACAAGTCAATGTTTCTTTCTCTCTTGCAAATCAATAAATGAAAATAAATAAATGAAAATAAATAAATAAAAATAAAAATTATGAATTTAAAATTTCATTCACAAAATTAGTATTTGTAAAAATTCAAAATGCCATTAAACAACTAGACATTTTTAATATTTGAAATTCAGTGAAGGGGTGGAATAAATAAGTGTATGCAACCAAGTTCAGTGTAGAAAGGACTTCTTGTCAAACACAGAATAGGATTTATAAGTGAGCTCTATTATCATAAATGTTCCAGTGACACAAAAACTTAATGATTTAAATTCATAGCCTACTAAACTTTTCTTTGAATGGAGAATATATTTAAAGCAATAAATATATGCAAATATTATAAACACAAATGTTTTATAATTTTAATCATCCTGTGCATCAAATTACTTCCCTTAAATTAATGTAAAAGGAGAGGCTTAGTAACAGTTTACCCTCCTTGCTTACTAGATAAACCACCCAGGAGAAAAATGATTGTATAAGTGTGATTATATAACAAAAAGTTTAAATCACTATTCAGGTTTTTTAAGTACTATATATCTGCAAATAGTAGAAATTTGAATATAAAAATGTAGAATAAAATTAGGCACTGTTGAATCTTTGATTAAATATATTTAGATGTAAAATTTTTCTTTTGTCAACTTGTTCTTATAAAACATAGTATCAGAAAGGAAAATATTTCTAGATTTAACTATGTAAAAGTTTAAATATTTTTAACACACATACCTACACACAGTGATAAAAGACAAGGGAAAATACTGGGGGAAATATTTGCCATAAAATTGATATCCTTAAAATATAAAGAGTTCATACAAATCAATAAAAACTTTGAACACCTAACAGAAAAGGAACCAAAGGACATAACAATTAGTTCATAAAAGGAGAAATATAAATAACTTATCAGTCGCTTATGCATTAGAACAGTCACTCAATCAACAAAGTTATTGAGCACTACAGTCACTGATCTCAGCACAAGGGATACCTTGCTCTACAAAATAAACAAAAATCCTTGACATATATTTTAGTATGGATTAGAGGGAGACAGGGAAAATGAATAAGAGAATTATTAGTATGTTGGAAGGTAATACTCTTACATAAATCATGGAAGAAAGATAAAAAATGTTTTATTTAGATTTGCTATTGAAGGTGTCACTGAGAAGGTAACTTTTAAAGATGTGGAGGAAGTAAGAGAGCTGGCCATGCAGATACCCTTGGAGAAAGCATTTCAGGAGAGAAAACAGCAGGTGCAAAGGCCCTGAGGCAGGAGTGTTCAAATAAGAGCAAAGAAGCAAAGAAGTGTCTGAAGTAGGTGAGTGTAAAAGAGAGGGGTAGGAATTGCTATCAGAAAGGTAACAGGAACAGGGAGGTTACTGTTCTGATACTGCCTCAAAAGCAATAATAAGGACTTTGATTTTGATTTTTACTCTGAGATGAGAAACCACTGGAAATTTTGAGCAAAAGAATATTCATGATTTGGCTTACATTTTTGAAGGACCCCTTTCTTTGCTGGGTAGAGAATAGATTATTAAGGCTTATGAAAACTCTAGCAAATGAAACAAGGTGCATTTTTCACTCATGAGATTGGCAAATGTTCTTTAAAGCAGGTCATAAAACAGCATGCATATGGTGATTACATTTGTGTAACTACATGTATAATCATGTTGGTAGACAACTGCTACTTTGATATCTTTGTTATATGGGGAAAAAATGGCTTTGGAGGTCAGGCAGACCTGACTTAGAAGGAGAACACTGTCACTTACTCTTGTGTGACCTGTAGCAATTTAATTAGAATCTCTGTTCCTCAGGTTCATCATAAGTAAGATGGGAATAACAATGTCCTCATTTTATTCTCATTAGTTTACTGTAAGGGTTAAGCAAGATAATCCAGGTAAAGTCTT